CATACTCTGGCAAATCTTTAAAAAAGCAACACTAAGTCAAGCCAGATTTGTTTTCTCCTTGCAGATGGCTCATATATGTTAAAACTTGTACCCTTAGTTTTAATTGAGTCCTGCTTACATCCTCATCCATATTCATCATGTATAGAAGGAAATAACAAAGCAATTAGACAGAGCTGAACTTCTTTTCCAAGTATAAAAAAATAATAATAAAGCAGAGTTGTAATTCATTATCTTAAAGGTGAATGTCACCCTTGATTAAATCAAAGAGGCTGATGTTTTTTTTTTTTTTTTTTTTTTTACAAAGACTGGCCTTTGTGGCTAATTCTTAGGTTCCAATGATATTGCACAGGGAAACTGGGACACCCTTGTCCTTTCAAGAGAATTTTCAGATCACTGTTGCTAACCAGCTAGGACAAAGGAAATTAAGAGTAAATTAAGCTACGACAACCAAACATTCAATGAGATCTCATGCTGTCAATGATCTCTCCAAACTTATAAAGTCCTATAAATGAGATTAAAACAACATTCAGATCCACTTGAAAAGAGCATGTTACTTCATCCGATCCCTCCAAATTCTATTATGTAATTTTCCAAATAATATGGGAGGCACCTCAGTGCTCTAGAAATAAAGCTTTTTTTTCTCTAGGACCATCAGAATGTATGACAGATATATTGAATCAGCACTGTTAGTAAAATACATGACTCAGCTTGTTTCTCATCATCTCTCTCTTGGCAGCTGATTTAAAGTACATGAAAGTGTTCTCCTTGTTTTCCACCACTGTCCACCACAGCCACCTAATATCTTATCTATATATGTCCTTTCTACAGTCTCATGTGACAAGCATCACTTGAAAACCTTAGGAGACCTGTATGGCAATAAAGGCATTGGGTCAACTTCATGTTGACTCCTAAGGCATCAGGCTGGTTCTCTGAGGACCACTGAATCAAGGTGATAAAGAACAAGGAAAAATGAAAAGCACAGCACGAGTCCATGCAATTAACATACTGTAGGTCTATGCAGATATGAAACTCTGCGCAGGGCATCTCTGTTTCTATTTGCTCATATCAAAAGAGAGCATAGATCACCACTGCCCCCTATTGGTGCAATGGCAACACAAAGAGACAAGAGTGCCGTGTGACACTGTTAAATGTGTTTATTGCTATCAAAGTCTTACACAGTGCATTAATAAAGCCAAGTATTACTAAAATATCAATAATAACAATACAGTAAAAAAAATATCATGATTACCCCACAGAAATAGCCGTATCTTGATGACTGGCTAGTTTATGCTCATCTCCCTGCCTGATCCCCTCTAAAAATAGACCAATGAGACCAGGCTAGGAGAGCTAACAAACTAAGGCTGATTATTTCACATTATTTTATTGATGTAACTTTTACAATTTTTGACTATTCACATTTTTGGAAGGAGTTCTCACATCTTGGGCAGACTCCAGCGTTGCGTGTGGAATGTCTTCATCCCAGGTACATTGGCATATATTTCAGCATGTCTTATTGATATAGTGTCATAGGCTTTATTTTTTTTTTCAAACGACAAAATATCGCGTAGCTCACGTTTACAAGCCAGCGTCTTTATAGTAACATTAGCCTATATTGGCTAATGTTTTACATAATGGGCATGCTAATTCAATTCAATGTTTGTTGGTAGATAATAGCCATGTCGTCAATATTTTAATATCAAGCTACCGTAGTATGGATGAATCTGCAAATTTGAAAAATCGATTTGCATTATAGCCTGAGGCAAGTCACCAGAAAAATAAGTAACAAACATGACTATCAGCCTGCAGACATAGGATAGTTATCCTGACCGATTATTTTGTTCGTCTACTCATGTATGATTTACTTGCAAGAATGTAGCCCCTACCAAACTCAGTAATCAGTATACTTTCACATCTCGAGCTGGTGCGAGCTGCGTGCCCGGGCTTGCTGCTTCAGCCATGACAACATACAGAGGTTAAAAAAATAAATAAAAAAAAAACCTTGTTGGGCTCTCGCGTCAGAATTTGAGGAAGTGGGGGAAGTGACGTACTGTATGCCGTAGGCTAAAGCAGTCGAATTTTGTAGTTCTTTTTGTGCTTTGGTTCCTACCCGCTCCCCGAAGTTACAGAGTGCCAGTAAAAGCAATACAGACCCCGTCAGGCTATGGCAGACCTGTCATTCAACCATATTGTAAGTCGATGTACCATTTCAAGGGTTTTGGAAAAATATTATAAAGGTTGAAAAAACGACATAGTGCTGCTTTAATTGTTCCACACTAAAGCCATGAAGAAATCGGAACCAGAAAAAATTCTTTCAGTCAGTTTGTGGCTTCTAAAACTGGCCCAATCAGGGTTAGAAAACTGATTCAAGGCTTACTTTGCAGTCTTTCTTACAGGCTTATGAATTATGAGTATTCTATCTAAAATACCGTGGAGTTGTACAAGACAGAATGAAATAAGTTGAAGAACGAGAAAAAAAAACAGGCTGCCAGATGTATGGTTAAGTAACGTGTCTGAAGTCAATCCGTCAATACTTTAGACTTATATGACTCAGAAAATGTTCCAATTACACTATAATAGTCATAAAAATGGAAATGCTATGAAGGTCATTCTGTCATGTTGAATATCACTAATGCAAGCTGGCATGCATTACAAGTTGAAACAATGCACTTGTCTAATTTCAGGCCACATAAGAAAGACGTTTAATAAAAATCATTGCAAAAAATCGAATAGCTTGGTTACACTAATGGTTACTTTTTCGGTTTCTATAACATTATTACAGTCTTTGTTTCAGCTTTTTCAAACCCTTCCTGCAGATAGACTATAAAAAAAAAAATATATATATATATATATATCTTAAATCATTTTCATTACAAAATCAGGTAGTTTAGATGTTACCCCAGGAAGAAGATTTTTAGGCTATGTGACATTACATTTTCAGTATAGGATCATACCTGTATCTCTTAATGAACAGGTCACTGTGTTTTCTCTGGAGACTGTCAGCATTCATGTGTGAAGTTCTTTTGAAGTATGAAACATCCACATCAAATCTGGAGTCAGCACAACTCACACACCCTGCCGGCAGAGCAAGAGAGAGGCAAAGTGAAATGGTGCTGTGTAAACACAAAATCAGAGGCAGGATTTTGTTGTTGCTGCTGCTGTAGGACACATCTCTGCACTCATTTACTGTGCAGTTGTTTAGATGTCAGCGGGAATAAAGTGAACATGCCAAACTTTTCTTCAGGAATACTGCCAGAGATTGTTCAAGAAGAAAAACTTCCCAGGTAGGGTAGCACTGAATGATGCCATAAGCACAGCTATTTGTGTGAATCATTTGCATGCATGGAAATGGTATTTCACAACTTGTTATGATAAAAGACAAGATGATGCACGCTGTCTTCTGAAAAAAGGAGACTGCACAATGCAGCAGTCTACAAAAATATTAAGTATCACAACTGTTTTCAACTTTTAGAATAATATAGGCTAATTAAAGGGTTAGTTCACCCCAAAATGAAAATGTTTACTCACTCTCAAACCATCCAAGGTGTAGGCCTATATGAGTTTCTTCCTTCTGCTGAACACAAGTGGAGTTATTTAAAAATATCCTGGCTCTTCTAAGCTTTATGGTTGTGATAGTAACTTAAAGGGATACTTCAGAATTTAGCATTAAGATTTGTATCAGTTGAAAACCAGTAGTATTTTTGAATTACCATGCTTCATATCCTCTGATATAAGAGAAAAATGTATTTTTAGTCTCGTAAAAATCCTCCGATGACGCAAAAATCGGCATTTTGCGTCATCAGAGGATTTTTGTGCCAGAGACTAAAGACTAAAGCCATTGTTCCGCATGTTTTCACCATGCACGCCCTCACTCACAGAATGTAACGATAGTGTCAGCCATCTTTCTCCAGCTAACAGGCTCTTGCCTCTTGGTCTATGTAGAAAGTTTGTATAGGCTAATTACGATGGCGGAAGGTAGTTTTGAAGATGAAAAAGGCAGAAGGGGATTTCGAAGATCTGTTGTGAGAATCTGATGCTCGGACGAGCACGCAATGCAGTTGGTTGTGGTTCTTTTTATAAACCTTTAGTGTTACTAGAGTGTGGATTAGAGAAATAGTGATTTAAATTGGAGGAAAAAAGTTCATGTTATAAGTTGTGTTATATACATTAGGCCCGGTACAATGCAATTTTGCATGGAAATTTATGAAATGACTCACGATGCATCAAAGCAAGCCTAGTTGTATCCAGATTCTGCCCCCTGCAACCAGTAGGTGTGGTTTGGCAGTGGCCTCTTAAGGGCAGCAATTAAAGCAAGTGCATTCTGGGAGTTGTTGTCTTTCAGCCACATGAGTAAAAAATACATTTTCTGCCTGTTCTCAGTCTAGAATGCTTCAATTAAAAAAAATTTTTTTTTTAAAAAGTTACATTATATAAATGACCAATATTAAATACACATTCATCTTCCCTGGTGAAGTATCCCTTTAACTGAGATTTTGAAGCCCAAAACAGCACATCCATCCATCCATCCATCCATCCAGGGATTGATTACTGACTGGGCCTATGGGGCCAGTGCCCAGGGGGCCCCTGGGGTTTAAGGCCACGCAATCCAGTTTGGCTCAGAAAACCCATTAACAATGAAAACAAATGTTTATTAATGCTGTAATATATATGTGTCTCATAGCCTATTCACAAGGCCTCTTAAAAGTCTCCCTGGAACTTACTGTTGGACCCTAAATAATTTAAAAAAATAATTTTTATATTTGATTTTTGGGTCAACCCTTTAAAATAATATATAGGCATAATATAAAAATAAACTAAGGGAAGTTTTGCTCAAGAACAATATTAGCTTATTTATCATGTGGTGATCCAACCCGATGGTTGGGATGATGACAGGCACAGAGAGAGGTAAACTTTTGAACTCCTCCCTTAATTCCTTTCCTGAAGACCCCAAACACAAAAAACTACGTTCCAGCATGTTATCCCTTCATAAAGACTTGTAGCCTACGTGAAACGAGCCGCAACTTCATTATATATGACATATTAAAGCAATATGCAACGATTATTGAGTTTAAACTTGAACATTTTCTTTGTGAAGTTGAGCAAGAGGACATCTGTTGATTTTGTCAAAGCGAAGTTAACTTGAAACTGAAATTCCTTCTGTAGCCTGCCTACTTACCTACATTGATTCTCAAGATTGTTCATCATGTGGAAACTGTTGGCCTGCGTTCTCATGGCCTCTGAGTTACAGGCGCGTGCTCTACGGAAAAGACAGACAATGTGTCCGGATGTGTGCGACCTGTCCCGCTGCTCACCTGCACCCGAGTTTTGTTACTTCGGCGTGGTGAAGGACAGCTGTGGCTGCTGTACGATGTGTGCTGCGGGCGAGGGGGAGTATTGTGGGGAGCGCGGTCATGGATTTTGCGGTCAGGGGATGACCTGTGAATATCGCACCTCTGAACGCGGCATGTGCGTTTGCGACTCCCATGAGCCAGTGTGCGGCAGCGATGGGAGAACTTATCCCAGCATCTGTCGGCTGAAAGCTGAGAACAGGCGGGCGAAGATGAGCGGCATACCTGCTGTCATTTTCATCCAGAGAGGCCCCTGTGAGACCGGTGAGCGGAAACATTTTTTTGGATGTTCGTAACACCCGACTAAACTGTGCTAGTTGATTTTCCCCCTCATAAAATTACTTGCGTTGAAAACCAATTTGCATTGAAAGTAATGGAGCAGATCTAATTTGACTAGCCTAATAATTTTACTAAAAAATAAATACAAATTAAAAAAAAATGTATACATACATACAAATAGGTATATAACATAGGCAACATACCAAAGTTTTTGTCGCAACTAAACTAACAAAATTAACCTATTGTAATTTTTTATGTAGCCTAGCTAGACAAAACGCTTAGGCCTATTTTTACTGTTAAATGTTGTTAAAATATGTAGGCTAGGCTTAGTAAAACCACAAATCATCTTAGAATTAATGGGGTAATCCCAGAATTCCCTGCATAAATTAAATTTGTTTACATGTTATTTCTAATAAGATACGTAGTTTCTTCTTTTTTCCCCCTTAATTTTGTTTCATTTTAAGTTTGTTTATTGCATTTCAATGTTGTGTGTGTGTGTGGTAATGACGTTTCAATACTGAGAAGGTGAAAAATCAAAAAGTCATTCAAGGGGCATATCAGATATGAGTGAGTACAGCTTGCCTTTATACAGCTTCATGCAAAATTCAACCAAATCCCCTCATAAAAAGTAAGAAGAGGCATTTATGTGATAATAGATTTATGACTTCAGTCACAAACCTCTGCAGTAAAAGAGGTGCAGCATTTCAATTCTATTTCAATGTCAAAGGAACTTTGATAGCATTCGTTTCAACACATTTCGGTGCTGGCATTCAGCTATTTTACATATTGCAGAAGCAGTGGTTGACTAATGTAAGCTCTTTCTTTCTTTCTTTGACAATTGTTGTCAAATCATGGAACAACTTTTAAACATCAATATTATCATAGCATGTTGATTTTAGAAACAAACTGAAAACTTGGAATGATATTGCTTGCTGCTACTACCAAAACATGTACCATACATACAGTATTAGTATAGGCTACAGAGATTTTTGACATTTTTAAATTTTCATCATGTCTTGACTGTGGGGTGATTTCCACCACACTCTAAATTTGTAACAATAATGAAAAGTAATCATATTGTGTTTTTCTCTTATACTCACAGCTTTGAGATATGATTTGACAGACAAATGTTTGTGTCAGTACATTTTCTATATGAAATGTGGTGCAGGCAGTGATGATCATTGTCAGTGAGTTCTCAATCCCACTGACAACAGAATCATTCCAGCTGATGAGAACAGTGTGGGATTTTATTTTACTTTCAGAGAAGACAAGGATGATAAGGATTAAGGAATTATGTTAATGAAAAGGTTGGAAAATAAGTCTACTTTTTTAAATGGATTATTCACCCAACAATTCAAATTCTTCTATCATTGACTCGCCTCATGTCATTCAAGCCCATATGCCTTTCATTCTTCCACGGAGAGCCTCTCAGCCGTTCCTTCTATACAGTAAAAATGGATTGCGACCAGAGGCTGTCAAGCTTCATAAATGTGCATATGACTCATGCATTATATTCAAAGTCTTCTGAAGTCATATGATAGCTGTGAAGGAAGAATCTTATATTTAAGTTATTCACAGAAAATCTTACTTTGAATCTCTTCCTGGCAGCCATGGTTTGGTTACTTTTCATTTTCATTGTATGGAAAAGAGCAAATCTGACTTTAAATGGCTCTTTATTTTCCATGGAAGAAATAAACTGGGTTTTCACTAGTAAATTATTTTATTTATTTATTTATTTAAAAATGAAATAATATACTATGCAAACTATTGTTTAATTGGTTTTCACAAGTAAATTATTTATTTATTTAAAAATGAAATAATATATCATGCAAACTATTGTTTAATTGTTTAATGTTGTTTAATAATATATTACTCTAAACTATTATTTGTAAAAGGTTCAAAAGTTTTTTTGGGGAAAACTTTTGTAACATTTTTAATGTTCAAATAATAAATGTATATACTAAAACAGACTCATTTTGAAAAGATATTCTCAGGTAAGGTTTATGTTTCAGGTGAACCCCCTGATGTTATGCATACAAATGTTCTGTGGCTTCTGGCCAAGAGGTTCACATTTATTTTGTTATGACAGATGCCTTGGGATATATGATTCATCTATGAAAACCATGTGGCATGTTCTGTCAGCTATGCCTTGCCTAATTCAGGGTTCCCAAAAGACTGAAAAAACATTGTCACAAGCAATTCAGCTCTGAAAGTCGACTCTGTATGCAGAAAGGGAACATCAATTTCGTCTAGTGGTAACATGTTATGTGGATTATATCAATTTCATCTTGTGCTTTGTATCCACTTCCACTACAAATTTGCATTTATGAAGCGTCAGCTGACTCTGCTCAGGTTTCTTTGACAGAAACAGAGAGGAGATGATTTAAACAGTTATGTCTATATTTATTTAAATAGTTTTTTAACAAGCTGCACCAGTGGTTTAGATTTCTCATTTCCCGTTCCCACTAGATATTTTTTTGTATGCGACACATTTACCTGTTGTGGTTCACCTCTGGGAAACCTGTTCATCTAACATCTGGACTGAGACTTTCTCTCAGAGGAGCAAGGATTCTGTCAGCTGCCACAGACTTGGATATAAGCATGTTACATCAATTTATGCAGAGGCTTTGAGACAAGTTCTCCCACCAGTGCCATCAGGTAGCAGGGTGAAGAAAAGAGATCCACATGGCTGTTTGCTTTACTTCAGCTTGTGCCTGCACGTTTCTATTGTTGATGTGTGACAAAACAACAACTACATTGTGGCATTTGTAACGCATTTTATAGTTTAGTCTTGGGTTGTCAAGCTCTTTTTTGGAGGTTTTGGCTTGGTTTCAATTTTTTTAAAGAAAATGTTTCCTTGTTAACCTGGAAAGTTTTCCATCGTAATATATTTTCTAATGTAATTAGTGTCATTTTTGTCTGTTCTCTTTGCTCTGATAGGCTCTCGAAATCCAAGCAGCATGCGCTACAAATTTAACTTCATAGCAGATGTGGTGGATAAGATTGCCCCTGCAGTGGTCCATCTAGAACTGTTTAGTCGGTAAGAAGGACAGATGGTGGTAGTTGTTCAGATGCTGAGCAGAGTGTCACATGCTAGTTAGAATGCTTGATATTCTTAGCTGGCTCAGAATAAACTCTTATATGATTCAATTATGAGAATATAATTGTTTTTGCTAGCTTGTTTAGACAGGGGTTCAAAAATGAGAGTAGATTAACTATGTAAACACTGCTGTTTAGATCTGATTTGTTTTATGTAAAGATATTTTATTTGCATAAATAAACATTCGTATTTAAAAATATGAACAGTTTCACCACCACTAAACATTTATATTAAGGTTTGGGGTCACTAAGATTTTTGATAGAAGTATCTTATGCTCACCTAGGCTGCATTTATTTGAACATAAATACAGTACAAAATAGTAATATTATGAAATGTTATTATGTAAAATATCTTTTTTTATATCTATATATTTTTAGAAATGTAATTTATTTTTGTAATATACAGATTTGCTGCTTAAGAAAAATTGAATTATTATCAATGTTGAAAACAGTCGTGCTTAATATTTTTGTGGAAACCGTGGTACATTTTTAGAATACTTTGATGAATAGAAAGTTCAGAAGGACAGCATTTATTTGAAATAGAATTTTTTTTTTAACTTTATAAACTTTACTGTCTTTGCTGTCACTGTTGATTAATTTAATGCATTCTTGTTGAATAAAAGCATTCATTTCTTTAAAAGAAAAACATTTTAAATGCTTTTCAATAATATAGTATTTTGAAAATTTTTGGTGGTGTCTTAGACAAGATGAAAATATCGTGATTCAAAATAATAATAGGCAACCTGAACTCATACACCAAGGGATTCATTATTTCCTTCCAGACAACCATTGTCCCACCAAGAGGTTCCTGTATCCAGTGGCTCAGGGTTTATAGTGTCAGAGGATGGGTGGATCGTCACCAATGCACATGTACTGTCCAATAACCAGCGGATCAAAGTGGAGATGAAAAATGGCATGCTGTTTGATGCCACAATCAAAGATGTGGATCAAAAATTAGACATTGCTCTAATTAAGATCGACTCAGAGGTAAGTAGGCCAATGACAAAAACTAATCTCCAGAAGTCTTAAAGAGCCCCTATTGCCCCTATAATTTTTGAAAATGACCTTTCATGTAGTGTGTAACTTAGTTCTAAGTGAATGAAAACATCGAACAAAGTTTTAAATCTGGAAGTGCACTGTATATTAAGTTATTGTCTTTCAAAAGTAAGAGTCGACTCTTGAGTCAATTGAATTAATTCTTTTTCAAATGAGTCGTAAGCCGTTTCGTTGTGACGTCAAGACGAAACATTAGTATATCACACACTCTTGAAATATGGTGTTTAAAAAAATAGTTTTGAGTTTTATATTGTGTAGGTCTCCTGCTAACTGGTTAATGTTATCACTGTCTTACTGACATACCTCTGCTAATTGTGGGCCACTATTACATAAAACGGTGTCTACCAGTATTAATGCAGATTGTCTTCACAGATAACTTGCATGCACTGTTATGGATACAGTTTCCTTGTATTCACCACAATATATTAGAAACATACTATGTAAATAAATTAGTAACTTAAAAGTAAAATAATCGGGTTGTTGATGGACATGCACTTATTTATGCTGATGGTGAGGAATAACCGTTGCAACATCTTATAAAGTACCTCAAACGGAGTACCGGTAGTGTATCACTATGAAACATGCTCAAGTTGTACTTGCGATGGAGGTTGAATAATGAGCTCTTCCAGTGTTTAATCATTGGAGTCACGCTCACATTGAAACATCAAATGGATTTCATTGTTCGTTACTGTGTTTAGTTTAGGAAGCCTCAGGACAAGCAGAGCAATGGCCGGTTTTGATTTCGATGCGCTGTACATGGTAGGCCAATCAGAACAGAGTAGCTTGCGGAAAGTAGTGATTGATTGAATTCGCGAGTCGTTTGAGGATCATTGAAAATGTGATGATGTGCAAATGTATATTATGAGGAAATTAAATTTTTTTTTTTTACCTTTGATGCATGTAAACATGTAGGAGACTCCACAACAACATTAAGCTATAAAATAGCATAATAGAGGCCCTATAAAGGGTTAGTTCACCTAAAAATAAAAATTATGTCATTAATGACTCACCCTCATGTTGTTCCAACCGTAAGACCTCCGTTTATCTTCGAAACACAGTTTAAGATATTTCAAATTTAGTCCGAGAGCATTCTGTCCCTCCATTGAAAATTTGTACACGGTATATACTGTCTTTGTCCAGAAAGGAAATAAAGACATCATCAAAGTAGTCCATGTGACATCAGTGGGTTATTTAAAATGTTTTGAAGCAGCGAAAATACATTTTGATCCAAAAATAAGAAAAACTACGACTTTATTCAGCATTGTTTTGTCTTACAGGCTTGGAAAAACATGAAGGTGAGTCATTAATGACATAATTTTCATTTTTGGGTGAACTAACCCTTTAAGTGGTTAAAATCTCTTTGGTTGCTTGGTAAAAAAAAAATGTTGTCTTTGCATGTTATGGCTCAGGACCTCTGGTTTATCATCAGCGAGTAGCTTCACAGCTGCTGGAAGTAAATTAATCTTGGGGAGGCAGTCCAGCAGATGTTTCTGGAGTCAGCAAGGGCTTGTGCCACCAAAAATTAGATTTTCCTTCTTGACATGGTTAATTTGTTTTCAGATTTTTTTTTTCAGGAGAAAATTGGTCAAATTCCAACTTTCTGCCTTTTTTCGGTGTGCTTGTGACCATGCACAATAACATGTCTGTTTGGCACTAACAGACCGCATTTGTAAACAGTACCAGCACACAGCCCTGGAAAAATCTCCTGACAAAAAAAAAAAAACAGCCCAAAGTAAAAATGGTATTTCTATGGAAGCTTGTTTCCACCACAGAATAAAAAAGGTAATTGCGACTTTTTATTAGGGGTGTAACCCTAATACCTAATTCGATGTACCTTTTAATACATTGATAAAAGGTATGATGCATCGATGCCATACCTAAAATATCGATATGAGGTACATTTATTTTGACACTATCCACGTCCTCACGTAACTTCTATCTATGGTCAACTGGTGATGCAAATTTGGCACAGACCATCTAAATATTGATTAATCGATATAGCCCTAAATCGAATCGTAATCGTGTCACAGAATTTTTTGAGGTATTGGCAAATATCGTATCGCTGGCTGAGAGAATCGATATCATATTGTATCGTGATGAAGCGATTTACACCCTTACGCTTTATCCCACACTTCTGAATTTTTTCTCACAATTGCGAGTTTACATTTTGAGAATTGCGTGATATAAAGTCGCAATTGTGTGTTATAAATTCAGAATTGCGAGAAATAATAATATAAAATAAAGAAAGAAATAAACTTGCATATTAATATCTTGCAAATCTGGCTTTATAACACGCAGTTGGGAGCGTGATGTATTGCATGATGTAAAGTCGCAATTGCGAGTTTATAGCTCACAAATCTGAGAAAAGATTGTCAGAATTGTGAGAAATAAACTTGTAATTGCGTTTTAAAGCGAGTCTTTAATCAGCGGCATAGAGCATCTTCTGCCAACACCGATAACGTCTCGCCATAACCCAGACCATAGCAACAGCATGTAGCACAATGATTGGTAATCACTTTAATTCAGTCCCAGGCTGTGTATGGCTGCCTGTGGTTTCAGAAAGGAGTAGAAAAGTGCTGGCTGGGGAGGCAGATGGCAATCTGTTATTTTGCAGCGCTCGGGCCCCCAGCAGTAGCCTGCGGAGTCAAGGTTGAGACGGAGTGTGAAGCCATCCTGCTCTAGAAGCACTGGTTATCAAGCCTGGTGCATCAGCCTGAACTCATAAAAATACTCCCTACAGAGCATAGGCAGGCAGGGACAGGCTCAGGCCCAGACTGGCTGCTGGCTTCAAACATTTGACCAAAAGTTATTAGACTTTTCTAAAAGGGTGACAGCACAGAAGATAGTAAACTTCCTTTTTTTTTCTTCCTGAACAAGACATCAAGACATTTATCTCAAATTTGACGCACTGTATTGTGAGTTGGTCTGTAAGTAGCGAGAATCATGTTTTTTTTTTAAAGTTACTGTTTTCAAATTATGTAAATGTCATGGGTGAATGAATCAGCATGTAGAATGGAGCTACAAAACTTGGTAAACTGCTGCTCAGAGAACGTCCTGGTAGCGTATAGGTAGTAGTCGACGTCGACTGAAATGGGATCACGCAAAGGGAGCCAATCGTCTTCGAGTATCTTTAGAACGAGCCAGTGCTCATGTCTATGTCTCTCTTTTATACAGACTCCCCTGCCTGTGCTTTTACTTGGACATTCATCAGACTTGAGGCCAGGAGAGTTTGTAGTGGCCGTGGGAAGCCCGTTTTCCCTTCAAAACACAGTGACCACCGGTATCATCAGCACTACCCACCGAGGAGGTCATGAACTTGGCCTGCAGAACTCTGATATGGAGTATATTCAAACAGATGCCATTATAAATGTAACCATTATACACATAGACATTATCATCAGTATAGACTGTTTTAACTGTATGTCCATCTAAATGAATGGAATACAATTGTTTTTGTTTTTGTTTTTCACAGTATGGCAACTCAGGAGGCCCCCTTGTAAACTTGGTAAGAAGCATTTATTCTCCTGTCTCTTTTTTGGCATTAAATAAATTTTTAAAATAATTCTCTCTCAGCTGCTACAGCTCTTGTGTATCTTTATTTGTTTCAGTAAAACTTCCCCCAAGGTTATAACTCTTGTTTTTATTCAGTGATGGTATTCATGGTTCATTACTGTGCAGAATCTACTATTTCAATGTCTTCTTCCATCTGGAAATTTAGTATACCCTGGGCAAATTACCTGTGGTGGTTTATATTATTCTATTGATCTTTGTAAAGGAAAACACAACATGTGTCCTTGAAAAAGCCTCGGGCTCAAGCATGCATCTGGATCTGCACTAAAAAAAATCAATTTATAGTGCACAATAGGAGCTTGAAAACGTGTAAAAAGCAATGCACAGATGCACCATAAAACTGGAATCAAACAATGGCTTTTTTCATGTACACTCACCTAAAGGGTTATTAGGAACAGATACTAATACTGTGTTTGACCGCCTTTGCCTTCAGAACTGCCTTAATTCTACGTGGCATTGATTCAACAAGCATTCTTTAGAAATGTTGGCCCATATTGATAGGATACCATCTTGAAGTTGATGGAGATCCACACATCTGGGGCATGAAGCTCTCGTTCCACCACATCCCAAAGATATTCTATTGGCGCTGAGATCTGGTGACTGTGTGGGTCATTTTAGTACAGTGAACTCATTGTCATGTTCAAGAAACCAATTTGAAATGATTCGAGCTTTGTGACATGGTGCATTATCCTGCTGGAAGTAGCCATCAGAGGATGGACATGGTCAGAAACAAATGCTCAGGTAGGCCGTGGCATTTAAACAATGCCAAATTGGCACTAAGGGGCCTAAAGTGTGCCAAGAAAACATCCCCCACAGCATTACACCAACACCACCAGCCTGCACAGTGGTAACAAGTCATGATGGATCCATGTTCTCATTCTATTTACACCAAATTCTGACTCTACCATCTGAATGTCTCAACAGAAATCGAGACTCATCAGACCAGGCAACATTTTTCCATTCTCAACTGTCCAATTTTGTTGAGCTCTTGCAAATTGTAGCTTCTTTTTCCTATTTGTAGTGGAGATGAGTGGTACCCGGTGGGGTCTTCTGCTGTTTTAGCCCATCTGCCTCAAGGTTGTGCGTGTTGTGGCTTCACAAATGTTTTGCTGCATACCTCGGTTGTAGCGAGTGGTTATTTCAGTCAAACTTGCTCTTCTATCAGCTTGAATCAGTCGGCCCATTCTCCTCTGACCTCTAGCATCAACAAGGCATTTTCACCCACAGACTGCCGCATACTAGATGTTTTTCCCTTTTTACACCATTCTTTGTAAACCCTAGAAATGATTGCGTGTGAAAATCCCAGTAATGAGCAGATTGTGAAATACTCAAACCGGCCCGTCTGGCACCAACAGCCATGCCACGCTCAAAATCACCTTTGGTTCCCATTCTGACATTCAGTTTGGAGTTCAGGAGATTGTCTTGACCAAGACCACACCCCTAAATGCATTGAAGCAACTGCCAACCAATGTGATTGGTTGATTAGATATTTGCATTAATGAGAAATTGAACAGGTTTTCCTAATAATCCTTTAGGTGAGTGTATATATATATTCATTCTTCATAAAAGCATCTTTCATTCCAGTTATTTAAGCAGTCACCTCAGTATTTCCTATTACTGTTCAATTAAATCATTAAACCCATTGACCACCGTCCCTTGTGTGTCTCAAGGTCATTACAAGGTTCATTCATTACAGTGCATTTCAATATTATGCTCCCTGTTTGCGGTTTCAAGGATGGGGATGTAATTGGCATAAACACTTTGAAGGTTACGCCTGGGATATCATTTGCTATTCCCTCACACCGCATACGGCAGTTCCTTGCAGACTCCTATGACAGACAAATAAAAGGTTTGCAAACATCTTCTTAGCTGTTTCAGCTGTTTGGTTGTATCTTGTTTAAATTAAGTAGCTGTTTTCTTACACTTCAGGAAGAATGCTGACTAAAAAGAAATATATGGGAGTGCGAATGCTTCAACTTTCAGCTGCGTAAGTTTGATTTATTTTTATTTATTTTTTTCAAACATGCTTTTATGAAGATATAAAGTGATCTTGAAAGCATTTTTGACATTATTGAATCAGTTTGATTAGGGAGCTTAAGGAGAAGGACAGCAAGTTCCCAGATGTGAGCTCAGGAGTGTATGTGTATGAGGTTATTCCAGGGACAGCTGCCTTCAGGTAAAGGGATTTGCCTACACCACCTCATCTTACTCATTAACTCTAACCGCAGCTCTTTCCTCACTCATCTAGGCCCAGAGGCCCGTTTCAAACCATCATAACCTTCAGTTAAATAAAGATTTATATCCTCATCACATACCACAGGGGCTTTTGAATATTTACCCTATGAATACATTTTTTTCCTGAAGCACCCCTGTCCCATGATGAAATTTCCCCCATGTGGTATTTTGATTTCATATGATAAGTGTCCAGTATTAGAAACTTAAAAGGATAATCCATCCAAAAATGAAAATTCTGTCTTCATTTATGTCATTCCAAACCTGTATGACTTACTTTCTTCTGTGAAACCTAATAAAAGATATTTTGAAGAATGTTGGTAAAACAAATCTTTCAGTTCTCATTGACTTTTGTTGTATTTTTTTCTGTTCTTATTGACTTCCATTGTGTGGACAAAAATACAGTGAAAGTCAATGGGAACCAACACATTTTGAGTACCGTCATACTTCAATATATCTTCTATTATGTTCCACAGAAGAAAGGAAGTAGTACAGGTTTGGAATGAAATGGGGGTGAGTAAAAAACAGAATTTCATTTCATTTATGAAGATATTTTAAATACTTTTGTTAATAATGAAGCAATTGACAGAAGCCATTGACTTCCATAGTAAATTAGGAAAAAAATACCATATAAGTCAATGGCTACAGTCAACTTTCTGGTTACCAACACTCTATAAAATATCTTTTTTGTGTTCAACTTAAGGAAATTACAGGTTTGTAACAACTTGAGTGCAAGTAAGTGATGACATTTTCATTTTTGGGTGAACTGTTCACTTTGAAATTATTTTTGATATGTTTTAGCTTACCTCAAGGGCATCCAAGATGTAGGTGTCTTTGTTTCCACAGTATTTTCAATTTTGACATTTTTCGGTCAAACCGGTGTTGTCTGTCAGTCATATAATGCAGGTATGGTGGTCCACCTCAAAGAGCATGCACAGAGAAGTCAAAATTAAACATGATTTAATGACTCGTGAATGTAAGTAGACACTGATGGCCTAAGACACGAAAAGAGTGGTTTGTGTGAGAAAATGAACAGTTTTATATCCTTTTTACCTCTTGTTAACAGCCGTCGAACTGATCTGAATCAGATGTCCAACTGAACCAAACTCGGTCCTTTAGGGCTGCTGTCCTGCAGAGTTTAACTCCAACCCTGATCAAACACACCTGAGCAAGCTAATCAAGGTCTTCATGATCACTAGAAAGTCACAGGTAAAGGCGGGCATACACTGTGCGATTTTCGTCCGATTTATGCACAACTTACTTCCGCATTCTCTGTAAAACAGGTCGAATCGCTTCCGGTCCAGGTCTTTTGTATGTTTTTCATGAAATTTTTTGCGGTTTTACTCAAGATAACTTAAAAGGAGCGAGCAAAGATTAGCAAACAATATCCCTCACATGTGCAGATTAATATTTAAACGTTTTATATTTTTTATTCTTCACAGTAACGTTTAGATATTTAAATGGAATAAAACGCCAATAACAAAGTGAACTAGTTAGGTTAGCTGATTACCTTAAATATCCATAGATATCGTAGTCAGTTCTTACGGCCGTTAACTTTCTCTGACAAGCGGATGCGATGAGACCCGTTTTCCGGTTTGGTCACGTGACGCACGGCATAAAGCCTTCGTGTCGGACCGATTTTCAGCTTTGTCGTGCAGTGTACAGGGAGAAACGAGAGGCGATTAACCTCTCACGATCGACAATCGGATGGTCGGATGAATTTCTGGCATGTCAGAAATTTTGGTCGCTCCTCGTGACTATATCGCACAGTTGAAGCAAAGCTACGAACCGATTGCCCTAAACTCAGTGTTTTTTTCCCTCACTGCACCTGCGCGAAAACAGAAGTTTAACCAATTCATCTGCAGCAAAAATAAAATTAAAATAAAAACGAGCTACAATTACTGTTGCTTACCTCCAGTTCGTGTTGCAAAATGGATAATATTACCCACCGTCTTCAAGCCACCTGATATGTAACACCTCTTTTATTATTTTGTCAAACAATGTTTTTGAAATAAACCTGTTTTTAATTTTCATTGATGATTAATAATGGCAATGTTCGGACATATTATAGACTGTTAATAGTTATTTTATATGTATATAATTCATTGTAATCGACCTAAATGTTTTAGACAATTTTTAATGAGAAGTAAGATTAATATTTTATTATCCTCACAGCACGTTGGTTATGTGCTGTGAAAACATTGCGTGGCAAATTAATTATAATAGCTGATCAATTTAATAGTAAAATTAGCCTATAGGCCTCCCCTAATAATGATAATATAATAATAATAATAATTAAATGCATAAATTGAAAATACTAAATCATCTTGATACTGATTGCAGATGCTTGTTTTGACAATATCTCTGGATACATACACGTAAATAGGCGCAATCCAGGGGGTTATCGCAGATATTACACGTATAGTGTGAGCAGTGAAGTCGCAGCTCGACGATCGGACCGTACAGTGTGAGCACATAAATCCTGAACTTTGGCTTTGCATCGCATGCGATTTACTCGTTCAGTGTGAGTAGGTACCTTGCTGAAATCGCGCAGACATCGCACAGTGTATGCCCGCCTTAAGTGTGTTTGATCAGGGTTGGAGTTAAACTCTGCAGGACAGCGGCCCTAAAGGATCGAGTTTGGTTCAGTTGGACATCTGATTCAGATCAGTTCTACGGCTGTTAACGGTTGCTAACAAGAGGTAAAAACTGTATAAATACTGTTCGTTTTCTCACACAAACTGCTCGTTATGTGTCTTAGGCCATCAGTGTGTACTTACATTTTAATTTTGACTTCTCTGTGCATGCTCTTTGAGGTGGACCCCCATACCTGCATTATATGACTGACAGACAACACCGGTTTGACCGAAAAATGTCAAAATTGAAAATGCTGTGGAAACAAAGACACCTACATCTTGGATGACATTAATTTCAAAGTGAACTATCCCTTTAAGCGAATACAGCTCTTGGATTGAGTTATGTCCTCTTCACCTGCATTGTCAACTTGAACCAACAACAAATCATAAAAATAAAAAAAAATCTGGATTCTCTATTGCTAAATAAATGGGACGGTTTAAATCCAAAGCCTGGTGAGTTCGTTGTTGCAATTAACATTTATATATGTGCTGTTCTGTGGTACAGTAATGAACAAATTAGGTAAAAATGTTTCACATATTGTCATTTGTTTGTAGTGCTGGCTTGGTCAACCAAGATGTGATCATCAGCATTAACGGACAACCAGTGCATTCTTCAGAGGATGTGAGCCAGGCCGTGCAATCGGACGCAATCCTCTCTTTGGTGGTGCGACGTGCTAATGAAGAAATCACAGTAACAGTGGTTCCTGGCGAAGTGGACTGAGAAAGATTTCTGTTGCTAGTTTTCATCTAAACAATGCGCTATCCACAAACATGCTTTATTTGAAAAGGCCATTATAATGATAACATGGAGTAGCCAATCATGATGAAGTGATGCATTTTTTTTACAAATACACAAGTATGTTATCTGTAGAGTGATGTATAGATATAATGCTCTTCTGTATACACTCACCGGCCACTTTATTAGGTACCCCATGCTAGTAACGGGTTGGACCCCCTTTTGCCTTCAGAACTGCCTCAATTCTTCGTGGCATAGATTCAACAAGGTGCTGGAAGCATTCCTCAGGGAGTTTGGTCCATATTGACATGATGGCATCACACAGTTGCCGCAGATTTGTCGGCTGCACATCCATGATGCGAATCTCCCGTTCCACCACATCCCAAAGATGCTCTATTGGATTGAGATCTGGTGACTGTGGAGGCCATTTGAGTACAGCGAACTCATTGTCATGTTCAAGAAACCAGTCTGAGATGATTCCAGCTTTATGACATGGCGCATTATCCTGCTGAAAGTAGCCATCAGAAGTTGTGTACATTGTGGTCATAAAGGGATGGACATGGTCAGCAACAATACTCAGGTAGGCTGTGGCGTTGCAACGATGCTCAATTGGTACCAAGGGGCCCAAAGAGTGCCAAGAAAATATTCCCCACACCATGACACCACCACCACCAGCCTGAACCGTTGATACAAGGCAGGATGGATCCATGCTTTCATGTTGTAGACGCCAAATTCTGACCCTACCATCCAAATGTCACAGGAGAAATCGAGACTCATCAGACCAGGCAACGTTTTTCCAATCTTCTATTGTCCAATTTCGATGAGCTTGTGCAAATTGTAGCCTCAGTTTCCTGTTCTTAGCTGAAAGGAGTGGCACCCGGTGTGGTCTTCTGCTGCTGTAGCCCATCTGCCTCAAAGTTCGACGTACTGTGCGTTCAGAGATGCTCTTCTGCCCACCTTGGTTGTAACGGGTGGTTATTTGAGTCACTGTTGCCCTTCTATCAGCTCGAACCAGTCTGGCCATTCTCCTCTGACCTCTGGCATCAACAAGGCATTTCCGCCCACAGAACTGCCGCTCACTGGATGTTTTTTCTTTTTCGGACCATTCTCTGTAAACCCTAGAGATGGTTGTGCGTGAAAATCCCAGTAGATTAGCAGTTTCTGAAATACTCAGACCAGCCCTTCTGGCACCAACAATCATGCCACGTTCAAAGTCACTCAAATCACCTTTCTTCCCCATACTGATGCTCGGTTTGAACTGCAGGAGATTGTCTTGACCATGTCTACATGCCTAAATGCACTGAGTTTCCGCCATGTGATTGGCTGCTTAGAAATTAAGTGTTAACGAGCAGTTGGACAGGTGTACCTAATAAAGTGGCCGGTGAGTGTATATTTACCTGATTTTGTTATTTGTAGTTTGCCACACATCACAATATGGTACAACCATTCCTAAAAGTCTGCTATTTTTATATATTTTTGAAAGTCACTTATGCTCACAAATGCCACATTTATTTTACCAAATTACAATAAAAGCAAGAAAAACAATGAAATATTATTACAACTTAAATGAACTGTAAAGCTCAGCTTCATTACTTCAGTGTCATATGGTCCTTCAGAGATCAGTCTAATATGCTAATTTGGTGGAAATATTGGTAACACTTTACAATAAGGTTCCATTAGTTAATGCATTCGTTAACATGAACTAACCATAAACAACATCTCTGTTCAGCATTAGTTTATATTTGTTAACGTTAACTCACACATTACTAATGCATCAATTCACATTAACAGCACGATGCATTAGTTAACATGAACTAAGCCTGTAAATAGTTTTACTGTTTTGTAAAGTTAACTTACTGTACATATTTACATTAGTTTATGTAGCAGTTGACACACACTAAGTACATTTGTAGTTGTGTCTCTTATCAACACTCTTTCATATATATAAGACATTGATTTGTTGGTAAACAATTCTACTGTGGAAAAACATGTTGTTCATGTTTATACGCACTTTACTATCGTTACTTGCATTCAAATAAGTATTTATTAATGGAATGTATAAACCTTATTGTAAAGTGTATACTATTCAACATTAACTGATGTTACTAACATTTGTTTTCCGCAGTAGAATTATGTTTTCCAACAAATCAACGCCTCAATGTTCATGGTTAGTTTTTTGTTAGTAATTGTGCTGTTAATGTGAATTGATGCATTAGTACATGTCAGTTAACGCGAACAAATATAAACTAATGAAAAGAGATGTTGTTCATGGTTAGTTCATGTTAACTAATGCATTGCCTATATCTAATGAAACCTTATTGTAAAGTATATTTCATAAAGTATATTTCCGAAATATTTCATATATATAGTACAAAGTATATTTCCGAAATATTTCATATATTTGTGGAAACCTTGATACATTTTTCGGATTCTTTAATTAGAAATTTGTTTAAAATATTAAACTTCTGTAACATTCTCTTTACTAAATCTTACGGACCAAAAATGTTGTAGTAGCGTATGGATTTATTGTTGAAAGCAATTAATAAATAACAGCTTGTACTCTTGCAGTGTTTTAAATTAGAGACTTGCAGTGCATGAAATATTGAAGTTGATGATCTGTCAGGCTGAATACAATCATGGTCAACAAACACACCACATGTACTTACAACCTGCTGCTTTCAAGTGTTGTCAAGTAAGGAATCAATTTCACTGCCCCACACCAGTCAAACAAGTCTTTTTATCCTTATAATTTTAACAAAAAATGTGCGAATACAGTTTAATTGCATGCATCATATCTCAAAGTGCCCCGACTGTTCAGCAGGAAATAAATCTCATGCATAATGAACAAGGAACACGCAAACTGCAAAACATGAAAGAGGAAATTAATGAAAAGGAAAGTTTTTCACCCAATAGTTTTTTGAAAAGTGTGTGATAAAAACCATGGGACGTCTGCCAAGGGACGCGTGTTTAATAGTCTATTGTTGTAAGTTTTTTTTAATTGCAAGCTGTTTCATAACATCTGTCCGTAGACAGCTCTTTGTAGGTATTCGGTGGGTCTAAAATAAGGTCTGTAACATTTCTGCTGCTGTTTTGTCACAGTCAGCAATAAACTTGGTGATTTTAAACATCATTTGTTGAGACAGATCGTACAGCAAAAAAGAAACAAAGGCAGGGAAGTGTAGTGTGTGATGAAAATGCCAAACTAACTTCCGAGACAACTTTGTTGTTTGTTTAATAACCATGGATTATCATACATATTGATAAATAAACTAGATATAATGTAAGAGTTTTACTCTTGGAAGATGGCATTTATTTACATCACTGCTTTACATAAACACTTTACAAAAGAAATAAGAGAAACAGTATTTTAGAAATAATAATGGCAAATTAAGGCCCATGTAAGCCCAAATGCAATCAGTGTATGTGATATAACTTGCGAGTACAAGAAAAGTGAAAGGCTGCAGTTACTTTACATCAGTAGAAAGTGCACCAGTTGCTGCTGTCGCTGGGAGTCAGTCCCCCTGTTATCAGGAGAATGAGGTCTACAAACCACCAGATGCCAAGGCCACCCAGGGTAAGCAGCTTTCCCACCGCAGTCCCAGTGTGCCCGAGACAGAACCGATCGACACCAAAACATCCCAGGAAAAATGAGTACAGTAGGGTGGTGATGAAGTAGTGTCCTGTGTATCTTAAATATCAAAGAGGAAAAACAATCCATTAATGTCAATGCATTAATAGACTATACCTTAAAAAAAAAAACAGCGCAAACACATGTAAGCTATGCATGCACTGAACACACTGTCGACAGTTAAAGTTCATAATTAGAATAGTTTATGTTTAGTGATGATGGCCAAATACATAATGCATGTATAGACTTCTTAGAGAAAGGAATCTACAGTACCTGTCTGCCCTCTTGTGGTGAAGAAATGAAAAATGATGCAATGCTCTCTTGTGATGCAGACGTCAGACAACAGCAAACACTTTATGTAAGTGTAACTGGCTGTCATCTCATATTTAGTGTTATTTTCTTAAAATAATAAATATGTGAAACGAAGGATCAGTAAATGCTATAATAAGGGCTCAGACGTTTTTTAAAATGTTCTTTTCTATTACATTTATTAGTTATCACTAGATAACTATTATTAAAAAATCATTATTATTCAGAACAGTTTGCTAATGAATCATTCAGACATTTTGTGAACCGTTTTTGTGATTCATTAAAATGAACCGACTCCTAATAAAACTTTGCATACAAATCAAACATTTAAATGGCTAGCAAGCGATTTTTACTCTACAGAGCAATAACTAGCTTATTTATAAAATTTTCTTTTCTATTATCTTTCTAAGTTATCACTGGATAACTATTATTAAAAAACATTATTATTCAGAACAGTTTGCTAATGAATCATTCAGACATTTTGTGAACCATTTTTGTGATTCATTCAAATGAACCGACTCCTAATAAAACTTTGCTTACAAATCAAACATTTAAATGGCTAGCAAGCGATTTTTACTCTACAGAGCAATAACTAGCTTATTAGATATTTTACAGCTAAATCAGGTATAGATATTTCCATCTTTTTAAGTTTAGAATAATTTCCATGATTTTATGATATTATTACGTTCCAGGACATATTATGTTTGGGGATGTGATTAAGGTTATTGCTATGCGTATTGCTGTTTTTGGTGTATTTCTCCTCTTTTTCCGCCATGTTTTCAGCTAACAGGTATTTACGACTGCCACTTGATCCCAGTTACTTTGCTGGTTTCCCTACCGGTTGAGATTGGCAGATGACTGGAAGGAAGTGGTATAAAGCTTCAGTGTTCATTAAGAAGAGGCGAGACCAAATTAAGCGTGTTGTGTGGAGAGGGTTCCTGTCTCCTGCCCCAGACCCTATTTTTGTTAACTTTGAAGACTGATTTTGTTGTATGATTGGTGTGCTGTGTGCCACCTAACATTGAATTGTAAGAAATTTAATCTATTGAACCAAATTACTTCCTTTTGAGTAGGCCACCTTTTGTTTAATAGTTTTCTCCTGATTTTGGTTTAGTTAGGGAGATCGGGAAGTTCCCCGTTCCCCATTTTTTCCTTTGTTGAGCAGGTAAGTTAGTTTTTCTTTAACCATAGAGTCTCAGGAGGGGTTTAAGCCAAAACAACAAATAAAATCCAATTCTTTCTATGACAACCGTAATTGTGTTTGTTCTTTATTTCTTACTAAAATAAAAGACTAAATCTAATTTTACCAGATTAAGTGTCCTGGTTGTAGTGCTAGGACACTAGTGCTAAACCTCCTTGTCTTTCTCCAATTATTTACTGTTTCGTCATTCCTAATACTCCTTGACTGGGGAGCGATTTAACAATATGAAATATTGACATTTACACTAAGTGCAAAAATACTGTATTTTGTTGGCAAAAGCTATTGAAAGCTATAACTTTGCCCACCATTTAAGGTTAATGTCAAGTAAAATAACCTAATAAGGGAACATCCAATTAATTATTAAAAATATATTTAATAAACTAAATATGTTGTTATTATGATTGCATACTGTTTTCTAAAGTACTACAAAATGTATGCATTCATTTATTACATCAAGGAATATTGTAATTCTTTATATCATGGGCTTCCTCGATCTTCATTGGCACATTTACAGATGGGTCAGAATGCAGCAGCAGACTTAACTAGTGCAAAAAAAAAAAAGTGATCATATCTCTCCAATTTTAGCTTCTGTTCACTGGCTTTTTGGCTTTTTTAGAATTTAATTTAAAATGTTGCTGATTATTTTTAAAGCTCTTAACGGAAATGCACCATCTTATATCTCTTCTGAACTTATTAATTTAAATTCAGCTCCTAAGGTCAAGTCTTAAATCGAAAGGTGACAGAGCCTTTGCAGTTTGCTGCTCCCTGGTTATTGAATCACAGTCACGTCCAAGTACTCTGAGGGCGAGGGGGCTTCTATCTGCACAAGCGCGCCGGAAAAAGCCCCGGAAGTGATCTCTCGAATGTTTACGTCACTCATTGTTTACGCAGAGATTTCAGAAGTGTTATCCTTCACTGTGAAGACCTAAACATATTTAGACATACAGGAAATTGCAATGGAAGATGATTTTGATATATCAATAGACAACGTTAATTTTTTCAGATCAGTTGGGCGTGGCTGTGGTTACAAGAGGTAAAAACGATATAAACACTGTTCGTTTTCTCACACAAACCGCTCATTTCCTGTCTTAGGCCATCAATGTGTACTTACATTTACGAGTCATTAAATCATGTTTAATTTGGACTTCTCTGTGCATGCTCTTTGAGGTGGACCACCATACCTGCATTATATGACTGACAGACAAGAACGGTTTGACCTAAAAATATCAAAATTGAAAATACTGTGGAAGTAAAGACACCTATATCTTGGATGCCCAAGAGGTAAGCTAAAACATATCAAGAACTAATTTCAAAGTGAACTGTCCCTTTAAGAGTGCTCCTTCTATTTCTGTTTTTAAATCTAGACTCAAGGCACAAATCTTTTACTCTTTTAAATTATGGATGAACACTTTGGTCATTGTAAACTGAATTTAAATTTGCCCCTATAAATAACATTTATTTACTTGTTTACAATACAGACACTGAGATGCAAATACTGTAGTATCTAATACTTGCAGTATCTACTATGAATAGAATGTTAGGATATACTTTTTATACTTTAAAAAATGCTGTTATTTCCACTTTCCAGATTTCCAGAATGTCCACGACACCCTGCTATTTTTGATTTCACTTACTTGATGCATGGCTCATTGCCTCTGAGAAACTCCCTTGGTCCAGCACACTCTATGCCATCCAGTGCCGAGCATAACACCTGGGTATGGTTCACATCTTTGTACACTTGACCGCCAAACTACAAGAAAAAGTCAATTGTATGTTTTTAGCTTTGCGACACATACACAAACCTCAGCTGGAAGGGATTTTATTTATTTATTTATTTGTTTATTTTTATTAAAAAGCAGGAATTCTTCAAGGCTCTGTCTGAACTGCAGATTATGGCTGCAACATATCTTTCCAATAAAAATCTAGGTAACACTTTATTTTACAGTGTGCTTGTTACACTCACATGTAGCTACTATAGTTACAACTATAAATTATGCATAATTACATGCCACTAACCCTACAACAAACCTAATCCTAACAATAACACTTCATATTAAGTTACACATAGGCCTGGTTTCACAGACAGGTCTTAGATAAAGCCAGGATTAGGCCTTAGAACATTAAAGTGGCTTTTATAAACATAGGCTAATACTCAGTAGTTAAATGTATAATTGCACTGTAACAATAACTTAAAGCAATACCCTTACAAAACAACTGAACTTGCCTTTACACATCCATAGCCCATCTCCTGAAAGGCAGAGACATTTCCTCCGTGATCGACTGGATCTTGGCAGAATATGAATTCCTCTGGTCTATATAAGATAATAGCACATCTTTATAAACTATAACAGCGCACACTGAATTGTAAGTCGTTCCCCCGTGCTTCAGAAAAATTAAGTGAACTTACAGGTATCGACAGAGAACGACAGGTGATGGAGGGTTGTACTCGTACTGCTCCGTGTGATTTGATGTTTCAGTAGGTATAACACTCTCCGTCACAAGTGTTTCTCCCGGTTGTTCGCTGAACAGAACTGTTTTGCTAGTCGTTACTCCGTTTCCGGGTGGGTCGGTTGAGTTTTCCGAGTGAATCCCGTCCAGACACTGTAAAAGTAGCACTGTAAAGAGCAATAAGAACTGTCCGCATAACAAAATGTAGTTGACTGAAATCTGCGGCATGGTTTCTGAACGGCTAGCTGATTTTTCAGCTAATGAACGAGACAGCAGCTACCTAGCGGTGATTTTGCCAGTCTCATCTGTAAATGCCAGTCGACATAATACTAACTAGTATATAATACTAGTATTATTTAATATTATGCGACTTGTGTAGCGTGTTGTGACCCAATATGAACCATATTGCACTGCTAAGAGTGAACACGAGCTAAAATTCAGCTGTGCATTAATCAAAATAGGCGGCGCATTGTGATGACGCCATTTGTGTAGCGTTACGTCAGTAGGCGGAGTGAAAAAAAAAATTGTGAATATTGTGCTCATTAGGGCAGAATCCACTGTATGACTATTTTATTTATGAAGCATAATATATTTACAAATGTAATCTTAATATCTATCTCTGAAGTTGTTCTCATAGCCCAGTAGATCTTGTACCATCAATATATTAATATATATATATATATATATATATATATATATATATATATATATATATATATATATATATATATATAACTCAATAGTTTTGTTTTTTTTTGCTCTCATGAATATGTTTGTATGTATGTAAATGATCTTAAACTATAAATAAATATTCTCAATGTAAGATTTATTTACACAAATTTAAATTGTTTAAATATTTTTAAATTGCATGGTCATCCCGACAATCTTAAATAAACAATTATATTGCTAAGACTGTGATATTTTACTATATATATTTCATATAGTAAATAATATATATATATATATATTTCATATAGTAAAAATATGCTTAAGTAAAGATGTACAGTAAAGATTAGCCATATGTTAACTATCAATTACAGACTGCTGTTGAAAATTTATTAAAATTATTGAAAGAATTCTTAAAATAGAAGTTAAAAACATCTATAGTATAGGCTTCATATAGAGCAGTTTTATAATAAGAATAAGAATAATAGCAGTAAAGAAAATACATGGGAAAACAGAGAAATTGGTATGAAATTTATTTAATGGTTGCTCTGCAACTTCATGTTTTTTTATGCATTTTTCACACATTTACACAGCAGATAAAGACTAAAGAATAAATAGTATATATTATTTTTAATCCAGACCTTCAATTGATACATTCCATAGACTTATAATTGCACATAATTACAGCTTACTTAATGTATTGTAGTTCCTGTACAACCATCTCTAGAGATCCCGGCACATTGTGTTCTGATCCTCATTAGGTTTTGATCTAAACGCAGTTGATCCAGTAGGAGTTGTAATACCAGCATGCTCATTTGTATCAGTTTCACCATATGGTATAAATACTGAGGTTTGTGGCATTTTTCGGCCATGGACCCACACTGGTACAGGGTAGGGTCTGCATCGGGATCGGTAGCTAACGTTGAGAAAAGGGGTGCGTTGAACCTGGTATGGTAGTACCGCAGAAGAGGTGGCAGCAGATGTAGTCATGTAACTCTGTGGATAAGGTAAGACACTTCCATGCGCCGAAACAAGCACATTCTGTAAAAATTGGATGAAATATACTTTATATATTTTTATTATAATTTACATGCAAGTCAAAGGCTATAAAACAACACAACATATTTCATTTAGAATGTTTGGTGTCTTTTTACATTTTATTATTTTAAAATCAAATCAAATTTATTTTTAGTGATATATTAGTCTTACGTTATGAATTATGGACCTACCTGAGAGGTCGTTCTGTGCTGCTGAAAGTTAGGTGGTAAATCTGGCATGCCAGTGAGTCTTTGTTGTGAGGTTGAGACTGAAGTGGTGTGACTTTGACCCTCTCCTTCATTTGACCTTCGAGATAACCAAGGACCAGTTGCTTCAGATGCCAAAAGTGGAAGTGTTCCAACATAATGAAACTGACATAAGTTTGACAAGACTTGTGCCGGCACACGCAGCGAATTAATTAGGCCTGGATGGTGGATGTAATAGGGCCGAGCGAGCAAACCCTTCTGAGAAACATCAGTCACATCAACTGGAAACTTGGATTGTTCTGCATGTTTTTTATCCAAGGGTAAATGTTCCGTAGCCTTCTCCTCACCAAGTTTTTCCTTGTTTTTGACTTCTATGTTCCAATCTCCTTGTTTCTTCTTTTTTGAATTGTCCTTGGACTCTTGCACTGTTGTAGAGTTTACTCTGGAATTTTGCTCATCTTGAGAAACTGAATGATTCTCCTCTTCATTGCTTTCCTTCTCATCTCCATATCCATCAATGTCGCTCTCATTTGTATCTGTAGAATAAATATAATAAAAATATATTATAGTTAGGAATACCAATATTATTAATAGCCTATAAAATAGATGATAAAAAGCATATATATAGAGTATAAATTAAATTCCAATTGAAACCTGTTGAAGTTGATGTAACGACATTAGTTTCTTGAATTAAATAATTTGATGAACTTTGGTCAAAACATGGGTCGTCTGTGAACACATTGGCTTTTTTCGCTTCCACATCGCACCTCTGATGCAACATCTGTTTCCTAAGTATTGAAAAATATCATGTCAGTGGATTTTAAAATGATTTTTTTCAGCCCGTGCATGCTGTTCATAAGTCCACATTGAACATCTGAGATTCAAACTGGAAATAAAGACAAAGTTTGTGAGAAATTAAAAACAAAGACATAACATAAATAAGAAAGATTGTCACTGATCAAATATGTGAACTCCTTCGTTCCAAAGGTTAATGCTATAGAGAACATAATCATCAGGTTTTACCCAAAGTTATGTTCATACAACTCGAGTGCTGCTGTCATTAAAACAAAAAAGGGCAGACCAAAGTTCAACTTCAGTAGGCCTATATGATCGTTTCAATTATTTATATAATGAGATGTATAATTTATCCTGAAAATAAATGAAAATAGGCCTAGACTACAAAATACAATCATGAAGTGTAATTAAACAGAATATTTATAGGCATTTATGGAATCTGAAAGAAAAAAAACTGACCTTTTCTCTCTTCTCCCATTTCCGGTATCGCGGAATCCTTTTGCAAATGGATTATTATCGATTTTCAGCTGAGTTATCTGTAACGGTAACGTGTTAATGAAGATATCACATTTTTAACAGTTGTAAAAAATGTTATAACGTTATTAGGATAATATGTGGTTTCATGGATGAAACATTTGAATCCATTCTCACCTTTTCGTTTTGGTATGCGGTAACAGCGATAAATTCAGTCTCAGGAAACACGTATGTTTTGAAAGTGCTGTAAGGAAGTTTGAGGATGTCGTTGGCTCGAACGACATGAAACCTCGGCTGATATTTGTGCATGGAGTTTAAAATTGTCTGCAAAACAAAATCATATCCTTTTTCATAATCATTAAACAATAATTTAAAAACATTTCTTTTCGGATTTCACCATATTTAAAATATTTTCACATCTGTTTGAGCTGTTTGGCTAACGTTAAGCAACTTGTTGAATTTTCATAGAGCAATTGAAAATTGTGGGAGAGAAAATTAGTTTTAAGGTGAAATTTACAATAAAGGTCGTTCATAATTATGAATCAAATTAAAAACCCTAGGCCTATACTCACAAATCCATGTTTGTCAGATATATTGTTCGTCAGTTTGAGTTTATGAAAGGTGACAGCTTTGGACATCCATTGCTCCCCGGTAGCAGGACTGTCTGGGTGGATGTACATTCGTTTGGGCATTTCTGGATCGGCCTTTCCAGCCACCATCCAACGGGAGTTGTGAAACTTGTATCTGAAGTCGTCAGCCGCCACTATATCCATCAGTAGGATGTACCTCGCCTTCCTGTCAAAGCCGCTGCAGCGCACTTTAAAAGCTGGAAACATGCGCCTCAAAGACGCAAATACACCTTTCACTTGTCGTTCACTCAAATAACAATCATATTTCATAGAATGTTTTACCTAATGTTCAAACGTTATTTCTTATTCAGAATATTCTTTAAAATTTCAAAATTACAAACAATTTTGCAATCATTATGGGCAACTTTTAGTTGAACATGTTGCATGAACGTCCAACTAAAACGTGCAGGGGACGTAAAAAGGCCTAATGTTTAAAGAGCATTATTGAAGGCCAGATAACTTCGAACGAACATTCTATTAACGTAGGCTAACTGTAAAAATGTTCGTTTTTAACTTTGAGAGAACTTTGCCAAAACGTCAAAGTTCTACGAACCTTATGTGCAAGTGTCCAATTCAGAATTAGCCTACACAGTGACACTGACATAAAAGAAATAAATATATGAATAGCTCATCATTCTGAATTTTTAAAAGGCACTTGATTTGTCTTACCTTCCAGACTTTGTTATGACCATCTCCGTGTCGCTTTTGTGAAACTGCCCCCACAGTTCCTTGGCTTCCAGGTGAACCACGGGGTCATCCTCAGTTGTCAGCCCGAGGTCTCTCGTCTCCACAGAGAGGTGTGCGGGAGAAGCGGCTTCTTCGAGTGCCAGGCGAATAGAGTTATGGAGAACGTTCGTAAACTGCTGTTTCCCGTATCCAACAGGAACAAACTGTGGCTGCTGTCCAAGCATCGAACTAACCGTGAAGTCAGTGGAACTGGCCGGTATAAAGTGATACGCCATTCTCTAAACTTATTTTCACTCCATCACCACAACTCCTCCCTGACAGCTTCAGCATTCACTCCTTATGTGGAATCATGCTTTAGTTTCAGTGTGTCAGAAGTTGTAGCTGTTTGTCAAAATGAGTTTCGCGTTTATAAATGAATTATCCATTCATGCTTTCATGCCTTTGTCCTGTCGAGAGAAAAGACCAACTGCAGAGACAGTAAAGGTTGTTTAATGGGGTCTCGTGCCTGGCGACCTTATGCCGGATCTCCAGACAGCATAGTGGTTTCTGGTCGGGACGGGTCAGTCTCGGGTTCTGATTGGCTCCGCGGACACATTGTGCTTCATAAGGGCGTGGTAAATCGATTTTTATAAAGAATCTGCAACAACGTGATTTGATACAAATGGAACATCAGTTGTCCAGAGTTTAGCGCTGTTCATGTTTCTGAAGTAAGTGAAGAAAGAATGTCGGGAATTTAAGGGAGATTGGGGTTAGTTGTCACAAAGTTGTGTCAAAAGTAGGTTACAATTACTTAAAGCAGATGCATGTTTTCTCTGCCAGTGATTTTATATATTCTAAACAAAAATTCCCTATTATTTAATAATATTTGAATGGCAGAAGAACACAAAATCACACTGAAATACTGTAGGCCTACATTCAAGAAAGTCATAGGCCTATACCTTATGTCTGACATTGATACAATATTGATATATGTATGCAT